TGGGATGGGCTCCTTGAGAGGTTATTCTTCCTAAGTGTTCAGAATATCTGTAAACTTGTTTTATTTATGAGGGTTTTTAATAAGGTTTAAGCAGCAGGCATTTTTCTTCAAGGGTGGGTTAATGAAGGGGTGTTGGTATTTAGTATGTTTTAATGTTGAAATTGTTAGCTGCATTGAGCCACAAGGGAAAGGTGGGGTATAAATATTTAAGTGCATAATTTTACTGTTATGTCTCTATTTTTTGGTATTTATTATTTTTCATATGTGTGTTTATTTATTTATTTATCATGTATTGTTAACATTTTTACCCCGCCCTCCCCGTGAGCGGGCTCAGGGCAGCTTACAAGAGGGCACAAGCCCATGCATAAAAACAGGATAAAACAATAAAACAATTAAATTACAACATAAACAAGAATTGTGTGAGTGTGTGTGCACCTGGAAGTCATGGCGACTTCTGGTGACAGAGAGGTGACTGAATAAAGCCTGCCCCTGCCTCCCTTTGCTGGTATTCCAAGGAGGTCTCCCATCAAAGTACTTGTCAGAGTCGACCCTGCTTAGCTTCTGAGATTTGATGAGATGGGGCTTGCCTAGGCTATCCAGGTCAGGGCATTATGCCTCTGTTTTTAACATATTCTAAATAGACAAAATGAAGTATTTTTTTCTTTATTTAGTGAATAGTTACATAGTTATATAGCCCTGACCTGGATAGCCCAGGCTAGCTTGATGTCGTCAGATCTCAGAAGCTAAGAAGGGTCGGCCCTGGTCAGTATTTGGATGGGAGACCACCAAGGAATACCAGGGTCTGTATGCAGAGGCAGGCAATGGCAAACCACCTCTGAAATGTCTCTTGCTTTGAAAACCCTACGGGGATCACCATAAGTCAGCTGCAACTTGATGGCAAAAAAATAATAATTACATTTTGGAATTCACTGTCAGTGGATATGGTGATGGCTGCTGGCATAGATGGTTTTAAAAGGATTCGGGGAGGATAGGTCCATCACTGCCTTTTAGCCGTGATAAGGAAAGGGAACTTGATATTCAGAGACACTGTAAGGGCCAGAACTTACAGATCTCTAGGCTTTCATTGAATGCAATCAAGTGGCAAGTTTTTACAGGTTTGTTGTTGTTGTTGTTCAGTCGCACAGTCGAGTCCGACTCTTTGCGACTCCATGGACCAGCTCCCGCCAGGCCCTCCTGTCTTCTGCCGTCCTCTGAAGTTTGCTCAACTTCATGTTCGTTGCATCTATGACACTGTCTAACCATCTCATCCTTTGCCGTCCCGGTCTTCTTTGACCTTCAATCTTTCCCAGCCTATTCAGGTCAAGCGTTAATTAAAAGCACCTGGTGGCCTTGACCAGCTGCCACAAGACGCTTTTATCTGGCTGCAACAGGGATTAACCACCTATGCCCTGATTGACTAATGGGGCTGTGGGGGCTGACGAAAGGGAGACGCTGGGACAGTCTGGGGGGGATTGCTATTAAGATGGCGGTGATAGCAGAGAAGACACAGGCCGAGGCCTCGATGACTTCAAGCCGGAATACCAAGGACTGTTCCAGTGGAATGGACCCTCTTTCTTAAGCCTCTGGGTGAGAAAGTCAGGTTGTAGGATTACCCCAGAGAGCGAGGCCTGCAAGTATTTAATGTTTCAGAGACCTCTGCCTAGCACAAGAAGTTGGGGGTTTGTTTATTTGTTTTGTTGTTGGTGTGATTTTGAGAGTGATTTCTGCGTAGTAAACACTCGTTATGGCTTGAATAAATGCAGAAGTGGTTTTTAATCTGCTGTGTCAGGAGTGTCTGATGAATGTCTGCTTACATCCTCAAAGGGAACCCAGAAGCTAAAAAGGCTCCAGAAAGGAACAGGACCCAGTGAGGCCATCAAGGGGCCCAAGGCGGCTGTGAGTTCAGCTCATGCGAACGGGAGAGGGCTTGTCCTTGGTCCAGACAGACACATTCCAGTGCTAGGAAGAAACGTCAGAGAAGGCATTGAGCTCTATGTCCTGTCGTAGGCCCTTCAGAATAACTAGGGTTGCCAGCTCTGGGTGGGAAAATACCTGGAGATTTTGGGGGTGGAGCCCAGAGACGGCAGGTTTTGAGGAGGCGAGGGACCTCAGCAGGGTATAACACCATAGAGTCCACCCTCCAAAGCAGCCATTTTCTCTATGGGAACTGAAGTTGGTCAGCTGGAGATCAGAGGTGCCACCTGGACGTTGGCAACCCAAAGAATAACTGGTTAGGCCACTGTGTGACACAGGATGCTGCGCTAGAGAGGCCACTGGTCTGACACAGCAGGGCACCTCTTACATCCCTATAATAGTTAAAAATCTGTTGATTCTATGGGGAAATTTTAAAATGAGTAGATTGTGGTGTTTGAGAGGCTTCTCTTCATCTGCAGGATTGCAGTGGTTTATACCCAACCAAACATGAGCAGAGTGCTGATTTCCACCCCACAGACCCTTTGGAGTCTGGAAAGTATTCCTGAGGTCCTGGCTGGGGTGGGATGCAGTGGGGAGGAGGCCCTCCTCTCCCTTCTGTCGGTGGCGCTGCACCCTAAAGCAGCCCTGACCTGGATAGCCCAGGCAGGCCTGATCCTGTCGGATCTTGGAAGCTAAGCAGGGGTTGCCCTGGCTAGTGCTTGGACGGGCGACCTCCAAGGAATATCAGGGGTGTGATGCAGACGCAGGCAGTGGCAAACCACCTTTGAAATGTCTCTTGCCTTAAAAACAGGTCTAGTGCACCACTTAGTGGTGCATGACACTAAAAGAGTTAGAACATCTGGCTGCCAGACAATCTTAAGATCTAGAATCATAGAATCACAGAGTTGAAAGGAGCCATTAGGCCATCTAGTCCAACCCCCTGCTCAATGCAAGATCAGCCTAGAGCATCCCTGACAGGTGTTTGTCCAGCCGCTGCTTAAAGACTGCCAGTGAGGGGGAGCTCACCACCTCCATAGGCAGCTGATTCCACTGTGGAACAACTCTTACTGTAAAAATTTTTTCCCTAATGTCCATCAGGTACCTTCCCGCCCTTAATTTAAACCCATGATTGCGAGTCCTATCCTCTGCTGCCAACAGGAACAGCTCCCTGCCCTCCTCTAAGTGACAGCCCTTCAAATATTTAAAGAGAGCAATCATGTCCCCCCTCAACCTCCTCTTCTCCAGACTGAACATTCCCAAGTCCCTCAACCTTTCCTCATAGGGCCTGGTCTCCAGGCCCCCGATCACCCTCATCCCTCTCCTCTGCACCCGTTCCGTTCAGTCCACATCCTTTCAGAAGTGAGACCTCCAGAACTGCGTACAATACTCCAGGTGCAGCCTGACCAATGCCGTGTACAGCCTGCAGTGTATGACATCTTGCAGTTTTGGATGTTATGCCTCTGTTGATACTATTTATTTATTTGGATGTTATGCCTCTGTTGATACTATTTATTTATTGATACTGTACTATTTATTTATCTATCAAATTTATACTACACACACTGCCATGTGATAATTATTATTATTACCCTAAAGCAGCAGTTGAAAAGTGCTGCGATAATGGTGATGGTTGCAGAAACTTGACAGTCTGGTTGGGTGAGTTTGGTGGCCTGTGCTGTGATTGGAAAAGAAGAGCCAAACTGCAGAAGGCTGTCTGTGGAGTAGAAAGATACAGGAGGTTAAAAGAGAAAAAGATATAAGCCAGTCCATATCTTGGTTTGAACTCTTGCATGGCGACAGCCCAACTATAATCCATTGGTCCTTGCATGCAATTTTGGAGTTTCCCTAGCAGAAGAACTTTTGCTGTGTGTGTGTGTGGGGGGGGGAAATGAATCTTCACAAAGAATGCTTTGACATTGTTCAGGAAAACTAGGTGGGTTTCTTGGAAAAATCTGTGCTGCCTGCTATTCATATCCTCAAGAGACCCCTTCCCTTCCCCCCCCCCTCAAGTATTTGTGGTTGTTGTTCTGCAGATGGATTCCTTCAGGATTCCTTTAGTTTCATGCCTATTCAACCTTGACATGTTTTTGTCACATGCATAGTGCGAGCCATAGCCAGGCCTATAGTTACTGTGGTGCTTTTGTGGACTCCGCCCCTTTCTTAAAGTCACAGCCCCACAAGAATTTCTCTAGTAGATGCTTTTTTCAATCATTTTAAAACTCTTTTTTAAAGGCGTGCACTCCTCTAAGCAGAGTGAGGTGCTGTAGTTGACTAATTCCTGCACTGAGCAGGGGGGTTGGAGTAAGTGACCTCTAGGATCCCTTCTGACTTTGTGTCAAGAAACTGGTCTCCTTTAAGGGAGTTTTTCTGCCTAAGTGTTAGCTTTCTTGACTATAGGAGTCATCACCCCCAGGTGCGGGCTTGTTATCAGAATTGTTGCTTAGGCTGGCAGAAGTGATTAACTTGCAGCAGCTGAGAATTGTCATCTAAAGTGGCTGGCAGTGTAGAGATCTGTCCTGGTAACAGCTTCCTATTGGCTAAATGGCTTTTCTTTCTGCGCTGAGAACTTTAGCCCCACCAGGAAAAAAATTGCCCCACAAGTCACAAAATCCTGGCTATGGACCTGATATAGCTATCTACTGGGGTGGGTCTGATGTGAACACATGAAGCTGCTTTATACTGAATCGGACCCTTGGTCCATCCAAGTCAGCAGCGGCTCTCCAGGGTCTCAGGCTGAGGTCTTGGCATTTGATTTCTGATCTTTTTTGTGTGTGTATTGTTTAGTGTCTTTGTGTTTTGTAGTTTACTTAAGTTTGCAGATGTTTTGTGTGCTGGCACATCAGTATCTTCACAGATCCATTTATTTTTGGCACTTGGGACCAAAGCTTTGTATATCTCTGACCTATAATATACGTCCGCTGCGTCATCCTATCCACAAATATGCAAGGGTTGATTCTGGTGTTTTGGTATGCCTCTTGAAAAATGTAAGCTGACAATGTTAAATCAAATGTTAAATCAATGTTAAAACAAATAAAATGTTACTGTTTGGAAATATACATATTTTTCCTTTCTTCTTCTTTTTTTAGAGCCTGGCTGTGTAAAAGATGATGCTTTTCCCCGCTTAAGGTGACCAGTTCTTTACTGTGAATTGTAAAAGAATGTGGAGGAGCCCAAGTCTCTGCTGTCTCTTGGCAGCAGCACATCTTTATTTCCTGAGCTCAGTCCACAGTCAAGAGACAGGTTGGTGCCATTGGATACAATTTACTCTCTGTGTTTGCAGTTGTGATTTTCTTGGCATGTTTTCTGGCTTAGTTCAGACAGCAGTGTGACTTGATGCATGAATGGCAAGGTAAAATGTTTGTTCCACTTCTGCTGCAAATCTTTTTGCCGCTATAACTGAACTGGCAGTCTATGGTTGGTGTTTGCACTGGAAACCTGTGCTGCATCTGCACATGGTTGGATAGTGCACTGTTGCGCAGTAGGAATCCTTCACAACTGAACTCGACAATCCCATTGCAGCTGATTGCGACTATGCAACCATAGTGCACCTGTGTGTGGAATGCAGGCTCTGGTTGCAAGAAAACTTATCGTTTTCCACCCAAGGGGGGGAAAAACCTGTATGTTTCAACATGTGCAACAGAGGTGGGAGATGTTAAACAGAGCCAGTTTGGTGTAGCGGTTAGGAGCACGGACTCTAATCTGGGAGAACTGGGTCTGTCAGCATAAATACAGCGTGAAGTGGAATATAGCTGGGGAATTTAAGGTAAAATACTGTAAGTAGTTATTTTAGGTATTTAAATAGTTGATTAAACCTTTTAAAATGGAAATAAATATACAGTTTTAAAAGGCTGATTTATTTGAGAGCCAGTTTGATGTAGTGGTTAGGAGTGCTGACTCTAATCTGGGAGAACGGGGTTTGATTCCCCACTCTTCCACATGTAGCCGCTAGTATGACCTTGGGTCAGTCACAAGCTCTCAGAGCTACTCTCTCATGAGCAGTTCTTGAAAGAGCTCTCTCAGCCCCAACCCTACCTCACAGGGTGTCTGTTATGGGGAGGAGAAGGGAAGGGAAGGGAAGGGAAAAGGATCGTAAGCTGCTCTGAGACTCCTTTGGGTAGTGAAGGGCAGGGCATAAATCCAATCGCTGCTGCTTCTTCTAAATGCATGTGTTTTTTGCATTTAATGTACCCTATAATGTTTGCTTTGCTCTTTGATACAGAACATGTTGAACATGAACACCCAAAGGCAAGGTGTGGATTGGTTTTTGTTTTGAACGAAATGTATGTGCCCTGAAGCCTTTAGAGAGATGTTGTAGATACTGATACAATGAATAAAACATGCATTATTAATCTGATGCTGCTCTTCTTTAATTTGCTAATCTAGTAAATGCAGCTCAATATCCACCTGTGCATTTGAAACTTCACGTTGGAACCAAGGAGACGTATCTAAACTATCACTGACTTAGCACTTAAACCTTCTAACAGCAAAAGAATTCTTGTTAGAAAATTTTTATTTATTAAAATATTTTTACCCCGTGTTTTCCTGTGGTGTTTAAGGCAGTTTACAAACCCAAGTGAAAAATATGCAAAGTACAATAAAACCCTGAAGAATCTTTCCATTGCAAACCATAGCAAACCCATTTGACTTGCAGTGCCTCCTAAAACCTTCTAGAGATGGTACCTCCCTCCCCATCAGGGAGCCGGTTCCACAGGGTGGGAGCTTCCCGGGAAAAGCGCAAGTCCCACACTAGTAGAAAGTACACGAGGGAAGCAGTGGGAGTGTTGGTACCTTAAACAGGGCAGCAGCCTACCGATGGCAGCCTGAGGCAATGTTTCTTCTAAGCTGTGGAGTCTTGTGAGCAAAAATTCTACTTTGTGAGCTACTTGCATTAAAGTTGTGAGCGAGCAATTTGGCTCCTGCATAAGTTAGTTAGTTCTGGAGCCATCCTTCCTGAACTAGGACAAAAATGTGTGAGCCGGAGGCTAAAAAACTCTGAGCTAGCTCACGCTAACTCAGCTTAGAGGGAACACTGGCCTGAGAACCATAGTTGGTACACTGAAGAGGTTGTCCTCCTTGAATTAATTCAAAGAGATGGAAAGGAGGGGACACAGATTTCTCTCACTTGCATATTGCGAGATTCTGGGAAATAATTCGGTCACAGCTGGCTGAGGAAATTGATTTCACAGCGAATTATCTCTATGTGCAGAAGACTGCAAGAATAGTGAAATGTGACAAGCTGTATAACTGGCAAAATTCGGACAAGTTGCAGATTTCAGAGTTTCTAGGTACAGGTTTCTGCTGCTGCACCTGAAATGTTGCGAGCAGCCTTTCTGCACAGTTGGGCTGGGATCTGGGCGACCCAGGTTTGAATCCTCAGTCCGCTCTTGGAGGTCACTGAGATGCTGTGAACCAGGCACTTTTCCGCCTGACCTTATATTCACTTTGTATGTTGTAAAGTGCTGTGTTTTAAATAGTGATTTCGAAGCTGCTTTGAGCCATGAGAAAAGGCAGGATATAAATATTTAAATAAATAACTTTACTTTTAGCCTGGTAGAAGGGAGAATTAGGCTATATGGTGCTCTTGGTAGGAAGTAGGATTGCCAACTGGCCTCTTCAGTCCAGCAGGAGCAAAAGTGAGGGGTGAGCAAAAATGAGGGGCGGAGTGATGTCGTAACACTCTAGGAGTTCCTCAATTTCTATGGTAAAATCTAGAGATTTAGGGAATTCCTAGAGCATTGTGATGTGACTTGTGAGTATAACCTGCAGTGTTGTCACAAGCTGCTGCCCAATCCCCATTTTTGCTTCAGTTAGGGATGCCAGTCCCCAGGTGGGGGCAAGGGATCACCCGACTTCAGGTGCTCCTGCCCATCGCCAGTAAGCTGGCTGGTGGGGGAAGCCCTGCCCCCAACTCCGCCCCCAACAGCAGCCACCTGCTGCCTCCCTCTCCCTCCTGCCAGATTGAAAGGGCCCTCCATCTGATCAGGGGAGTACATGGCCCACTGATCACCTGGAGGGCTGTTTAAATCTGGCAGGAGGGGAGGGAGAGGGGTGGCTGCCAGCCACACGCCTCCACTCCAAGCGGCAGATTTGCCGCTTGGGATTCAGGTGCACAGGGGCCCATTCCTCCAAAAACATTTAAAGGGTCCATTTAAAAGCTTTTGGAAAATGGGGGCTGTGCATGCCCGAATCCCAAGCAGCAGTTCAGGCTCGTGTGGCCCCCGCTCTCCAGAAGCATTTAAAGGGACCCTTTAAGTGCTTTTGGAGAGGGGGTGGGTGGGCAGGAATTCTGAGTGGCAAATTTGCTGTTTGGGATTCAGGCATGTCGCAGTGTGATGATGTCATCACATTGGGGACATCCCCTGCCCCTCCAGGAACATCTCCACTGGGGAGGAGGCAGGACCTGGCAACTCTAGCTCTGGTTGGAGTGGAGAACAGCAGTAGAAACCGGCGGCAGAAGATTGCTTTTCCACACAGGGCAATTTGATAAGCCTGATGGGGAGAAAAGCAGTATATAAACATCCACTAAAAGCATGCCACCAGTCTTTGAGATGGGAGACAAGACCATCCATGTCAGGAAAATGGAGGACGTGTTAGCTAAGGAGGGCGGAGAGAGGAGGCTTGAGAATGGGCAGAGGAGCGGAATGGGATGACTGGGAGTAAGCTTACTGGGGGAGCAGAGATGGCCGCATCAGCTCTGATACAGGGCAATCTGCTCCCCCATCTCCTGCCTGAAGAGTTTGCTTCTTTGTAGAGCTGGCTCTGTATTGAAGGGCCCTTTGAATGCACCTTTGGTATGTTTAGTTGAGCGTGGCGGTGCCTCTAGTGGTTTTGTGGGCATCTGAATTCCAGGAGGGAAAGCCGTTCAGTCCGTATTAGGGGAATCAGATTTCCTAGTTGAAAGCTGGGTAGGCCGCACCTTACACATCAAAGTCCTGGTGGAGAGGCCGTATAATTGCTAGTGACTCATTGCGGTGCCAGGGATTATTCTTAAAATCCAGTGATGTGGTCAGCTGTAAATTAGAGGGAACATCTTACTTTCCCTTTAGCCGCTTCCTTTGGGAACTCAGCAGTCTCTTTAACGGCTATGAAGAAAGCAGCAGTTTGTGAGCTTTTCAGAGTTGGTTCAAAGTATGTGATAAAAAGTGGCGTCCTGAAAGATTCTTCAGTCCTGGAATTTATTTGTTGTTTATGTTTTGTTTTTCTGCTTTCTTTGGCAAAGGCCCTTGAGGTGGCTTAAGACGCTCTTTAAAACAATATAAATCCCAGTATAAAACTTAATAGTTACCAGCAGTCAATGACAGCAGAGTAAACCAGCCATTAAAACAAATACCCGTGAACACAAAATGACATACCATGGTAAGGATAAAAAGACACCCCAGTACCGAAAACGACAATAAAATATTTATTAGCAATAAAACAATATCAGTATTCCCAGTTGCAAAACAGACGAGGGAATTAAAAAAATAAAGGTGAGAAAGGTGTAAAAGAGGGCTTGTGAATGCAGATAATAGGGTAGCACTGTACAAAATTATTCACAAAGTTACTTGGAGACATTATTCGGGGCTGTGATCTATACGACTGTGTATAGTCATAATAGACCCTATTATGCAATTTTGCTTCATTTAATGCATCATGCTAACAGACTGCTTTGCTTCAGTTCTGTTTTTTATATTTCTGGTTGGTTCTACAACCCATATCCCATTTCAATGTTTATCGAACGTCCTATCCTGTTGCTTTTATTGACACTCTCTGAAATCTATCTTGAGTCCCAGTGAGAGAGGCGGACTATAAATAATGTAAATAAAATAGTAGAAAAGAGCAAGAGTCCAGTGGCACCTTAAAGACTAACAAAATATGTGGCAGGGATAGTCTTTAAGGGGCTACTGGACACTTTTGCCCTTTTCTACTGCTATAGACAGACCAACACGACTACTCATCTTGTAAATAAAATAAAAAGAGATGCCAAAACTGTGGGCCAATAAAATACCATTAACGATAGGCCGGGATAGATAGATAGATATGCTTAGCTAGTGCAGGAAGCTTAATAGAATCAGGCAACCTTGACTCAGTGCCAGCCAAATATTTACGGAGAGCCTGTTCCAGAAGTAAGGTGTTTCCACAGAAAAGACCGATCTTGAGGGACCACCCACCTTATTGCAGGTCATGATGGAACAAGAGCTGTAAACATGACCTCAACAACCAGGCAGGTTTATGTGGGAGCAGTTGGTCCCTTGCCCTCG